TGCTGGGATTACAGGCGTGAGCCACTGTGCCCTGCCTAGACTTTACATCCCTGTGATTGCTGAATAATTCAGGCAAGCAGCAGCAGCAGCACACGGTAATGACTCCCTAGACTGATGGCCAGTTTTGAATGACAGTAGCGAGTTATACCAAAGTTCCTGCCTTGTCTCCTATATCCTCATTCAGATTACAGGAGGTCCCTTAAACATCAAGGGTCAGAGGCAGCCAGGTATTGAATTTTAAAACCTTTTTACATTGTACCATTCAACCCTGAAGAGACAGATTGTTTTTCCATAGAACTCACATCAATGGAGTCAACAACATCAGCAGTAGCCTCGAATTGCAAAATTTACAACACTCCAAATGCCTATGCCCACTGATTTTCTTTTGAGATAACAACACTCATAATATCTATCAGGAAGGTATCAGCACTTGACTGCTGCCCTTCACATCAGTGTCTCAGTCTAGTAATTGCAGAACCTCCACAAGTCTTTCAAGGTAACTTTATCGCACAATGATCAGCTCCTTAATAAGCCTGCCAGGTTCTTAAAATCACAGGGGCTTCTGTGTAAATGATGGTTTGTGCACCATCTGCTCCCTCAGGGATGGCAGGTGCTGCAGTCCGTTTATTGTGCAGACACGCTTAAGTCAGATACAAACACACCTGTACACCTGAGAGAGGATCATTCTTGTCATAGTGAGGAAAAGAGCAGGTTAAGACGAAGACTGAATGTCAGGAATCTCCCTTTGAGATAAGACTAGGTATGGACTTGTCACATAAGCAAAGGAGCGAAGAGGGAGCGGCTTTAGTTAACAGACTCCATGAAGCCCAGAAGGGGTCACCACAGAGGACAGGAATCAGTAAGCACAGGGTGTACAAGACCGGCCTTGAAGCAAACACACGCAGGCCTGGTCTGCAGGCTTGGGGTGTGTGCAGCATTCTGTACCTTTCAGCCCTGAGCGGATGACTGTGGGAGACAAGTCATCGTAGTTGTTCATTAAGCTGATGTCTCCCGAGGTGAAGCTGACGGTGAGCAGAGGCTTGATGTTCTGCACTGGGATGGGATACGCTGCTGGACCATCTGCAGGAACACAAGTGCCAGGTGAAAAGGAGGGAAGCACACCACCCAAATCCAGGTTCCCAAAGCTGCAATCTTGCATGGTGCCTTACAAATTGTCTGATAATGCAGATCCTGCTCTGGATTGGGATGCTACCTAAATGAAGCATTCAACATCATTCAGGAACTACACAAGGGCCATCAGTGGGCACTAACAGAGAATTCGTGAGTAAGAAGCAGGACACTAGAGACACAGCCCTAGGGGCAATTGGTGAGTGGTGAGAATATGTGTGAAAGTTTATTACCTTGATGTTAATGTGTTACATGGTTCTAATGATATTATATAGACATAAATTATTTTAATGTCATACAACGTCCAGGGATGGTAGGAGGAGGGATAAAAACATTTTCTTAATTATGGTCTAAAAGAGAAAAAAGTTGCTTTTCAAGACTAACTCCTCTTTCGTTGAATGTTACAGAAAATAAGCAGCCACAGTGGCCCGCCCATATTTGGAGAGAAGGCTGGGCTAAATGTGGCTCATAGAGGCTTGCTGCACCTGCGGAGCACAGCCGGCGTAAGGAAAACCCTGCGCTGGAGCCTCACGCAGACATTACAGAAGGGGCCATGATGGACCATGGACTTGGTCTTTCACAGGGTGTTTGAAAAAGCAAAAGTAAGCCCTTCCTAGATGCCTAGATAGATTAAGGTTTTCAGAAGGCTCCTGTAGGCTTCACCCCACACTGGGCTCATCTTAGCAGCCATCGAGGCGGGCCGGCCTGCCATCTGTCTGCAGAGGAAGCCCAGCTATTGCTTTGCTTTACATCATGACACTGCACTATACCGACCTCTGCCCTCAAATTCCCTAGGCCACTAAGAAGCAGCTTGCTGCATGTGAAAGGCGAACACCTGTCACCTGTCATCCTCTAAACTGCCCCTCTGCTTCTGAGCTTCTGAGAAGGGCAACTGCCTGGAGGAGCAACCAGGGACTGAATTCTGTTCTTGGACTTACTCTGGACTTGCTTTATAAACTTGGTCTCTGGATCTTGTGTTTTTTTCTTTTTTTTTTTTTGAGACGGAGTCTCACTCTGTTGCCCAGGCTGGAGTGCAGTGGTGTGATCTTGGCTCTCACTGCAGGGTCTACTTCCTGGGTTCATGCCATTCTCCTGCCTCAGCCTCCTGAGTAGCTGGGATTACAGGCGCCCACCACCACACCCGGCTAATTTTTGTTTTGTTTTGTTTTGTATTGTATTTTTAGTAGAGACGGGGTTTCAGTGTGTTAGCCAGGATGGTCTTGATCTCCTGACCTCATGATCCACCCGCCTTGGCCTCCCAAAGTGCTGGGATTACAGGTGTGAGCCACTGTGCCTGGCCCCTTGTTTTTTTTTTTTTTTTTTCAATAATAAAACGGAGGTAAGTAAATCTGGAGTTGACCCACTAAAGAGGAGTTCTAAGAGTATCCTGAGTCCATATGATGAAGACACTGACTTTACTATTATGAGGCTGTAGAAATATGACAAATACTTCTCTCAAGGCTGATATCCTATTAGGAAAGGGGATGGTTAACTCCTAAACTGCTTTATGAGTGCTAGGAACACCCATAAACAGCCCCCAAGCCACTGGTCCCAAAACACTACCATTAATCACAACTGTTTTTCACATGTGAATGCCTTCTCCTAAAATGAATGAATGAATGAGTGTGTGTGTACACACACGTGTCTGCTGCTGGGGAGCATAACGTGCTGTGGCAGGAAAGAGAAAACAACATGAGAATACTGCAGGTTCCAATGGAGGCAGACACTGACGGGGGAGAAAATTTCTATAATTTCCCCCAGAACAGCCCTTCACAGGATGACATACCCCACAGTGGCAGGAAAGGTTAGAAACCACCCACTGTACCCTTTGACTATGAAGGGCACACAGCAGTGTAAGCACAGCTCTGCCAGGCTAAGGATAGAAGCCTGTGGCAGTGTGACCACTTCTAATCAAGAAGCCAGTCCCACTCCCCAAAACGAGGTGGTTACAGCTAGGTAGGAAGGCTAAATCCTAGTGTTCTATACCACTGTAGGATGACTATAGTTAACAATAACATATTATCATATTATATAGTTTCAAATACCTAGAACGAGGATATTGAATGTTCCCAACACAAAGAAATGATAAATGTTTGAGATGATGAATATGCTAATTAAAATGATCTGATCACTATACATTATGTGTATCAAACTGTCACAATGTACCTCATGAATATGTACAATTATTGTATGTCAATTTTTTTTAGAAGAGATGGATACAGAGGATGGGATGCTGGTGAAGAGCCAACAGAGTAGGCCAGTGCTGTACACTGATTCTGGAGACCTGCTAGAGGTTAAGGTGGCTAGAATTTGAAGTTATCCCCACCAAGAGTATTCAACACCAAGTGGTGTATACACAGAGGCAGCAGGTCTTTTTGACCTGAGGAGGAAGAAAGCTTCTGCCTGAAATAACGAGGATAGACAGAAATGTGGAGTTATCTGCCCAAGGTGCTGGCCTTCATTACGGCAGAACAAATCCTTTTCTCATGCACCTAAAGCCACAGGCTTTAATAACATTGGGGATTTGGATATATCACATATTAAGTTATAATAATAGCACAGAATTTTTCATCTTTAGCTTTCTTTATTGTCACTAAGCAGCTAAGCCCCACCATATCTCAGGGACACAGGAAGAGCCATGTGTCTCACTTTATATCTAGGAAAAGCTAAGTGAATTAAGTGTAATCAGTTCGACCAGTGATTCTGAGAAAAGGGACAACAGCAGGGAGACAGTCACATCTAGATGAGGCCAGCCCTATCTTGCATTTCAGCTCGAGAACTCTTCCCAGGAAGCCCGGGTGCCACATGTGTTGTGGTCCTTCACCGTCCCTCCTCTACATCAGTCTACTCCCCTCCAGCGCCCTTCCTTGTCCTTCTGGTCAGTGACAAGGAAAGTAGGGCCAATGAGTACCTTGGGGAGGGGCGTAGTCATCTGAGTCCGTGTCGCTCTCGCTGCTGTCCTCCACCAGGAAGATTGGGTAGTTCCAGGACATGCCGAGGACGCCGTCTGACTCGTGCAGGAGGACGTGGGCCAGCATCCTGCCGTGGCAATCCATGACAATCACCTGCCCATCAGCTGTGCCAAACAGCACCTGCAATCCAAGACGGGGACCTCTGACCAAGTGGCAGCAAGGGTCAGTTTCTGGCACACCTTGTTCCCTCAATTTGTTTTAGGAAGATAATATATATTTAGAACTAAAAATTGCTAGTTAAGTAACAACAGCACAGTGACACAAAATGTTAAGTAGAACATCTGCTGGCTATTCCTGCAAGAATTTTAGTCTTCTAATACTGAAACGTGACTAACAGGAGAATGAGTATATTATATTGCATGGACGTTTTCAAGTAATACCAGCAAAATCACTGTTATAATATTTGTAGGGGTTTTGCTTTGTATTTTTGATTGGAGGAGAGGAGTTAGGAAAATATTCATTTACTTTTCTGGAAAACGAAGCAGCAGCAGAGATTTGTTGTTATAATTTTCTCAAATTTAGAAGAAAAAGTTTAGGTTTATGTTTGACCCAAGAGAAAATACATTGGGTTATGTAAGCATGTTATCTAACCGTATTTGGAAAAGAAGATCCTCCTGAAACAATGTTTTATTTCCAATGTTGAATGTTTTACTTCACTGAGAATAATAATGGTATTAACGTATTAATTTATAATTAATTTAAGGATGTAGTAATGGTATTAAAATATTAAGTACTTTGCACTAAACACTATGCTGAAAGCTCTGCCTCATTAACTGTCAAAACCATGAGTTAGGTACTAGTTTTGCTGGGGTGGCCCAGGTGGGCTTTTGCCACCACAGTGTGCTGAGGGCTGCTCCTCAGACACCTTCCCTGGCTTCACCCATCTCAGAGCACACACTCAGGAACATGCTGGGTAGTACAGATAGATACATGGCCAGAGCTAAAGAACGATCTGGGTAGAGGAAGGCCGGATGCTCCCCTCCATGACAGTGGCAAAGGGGCACCTCACAGCTGCTGAACATCCCCCTGTCGCCACCAACCAATCAATAACACTGGTGGTGCCACCAGTGGGACATCCTGAGAGGAATCCTGGGGCCTGGGCAGCAGGACCTCCACCGAGGTGCATCACATTGCATTATCTTCTGTCCTGTGTGATGATGTCTGCAGTTTCTGCATTGGTTGTCATTAAAAACTTCACATCTTTTGTGTCTAATGGGATCTGTCTATCCATCAGCATCTCATTGTAACAATCATGCAAGTTATCTCCACTTTACAAACACACAAACAACTTCAGAGAGGCCAAGTAGGCTGACAAAGGCATTAAGTGATCAAGCCAAGGCTGTCTGACTAGAAAGGCTAGAATTTACCCAAAGGGAGACCTGGTTAAGGCTTTTTCAATTTTTTGCTTCTTTTTGCTTGAGATTTTAATGTGAAGCTCCTTGGGGGCAGAGACAGTCCATAGCTATATCCCTGGCACCTAACAGAGCTTTGTGTACAATGCAGGCACTCAATAAATATTTATTGCTAAATGAATGTATTAAAGTTTGTGACAAGCAAAAAGCAATTTTAGGATATAAATACTGATGACTGAGAGACTGCCTGCAGAAAGTTCACAGAATTCACAGAGCTATTTTAGAATAAATTGTTCATCAAATATTCCTTTAAATATGATCTATATTTTAATGAATGAACACTAAAAAAGGCTAAAACAATTTGCCTCCAGATGCAGCAATTAATTCATTACTGGAAAGACATAACTACCAGGAACACCATGGAATTCATTGTAGAAAAAGGTGCAATTTTAGCTGTCAAGAAAAAAAATTAGTATCTGACGGCATGTCTACAAAGCCTTCACGTGACGCAGGTGTAGGGATCAAGACACTGGAGCATGGGCCACAGGCCTGCTGAAGTCCTGAAAGAGGCAGATGTTTAATGTGCTTGGTGAGCCGTTTTCAATGACAATAAATACGAAATATGATTTCTTAAAACTTTAACTGAGCTGTACCCACCGCCACATTTATCACTATTCTCATCCCTTTATGTGGGATTGTGTGATTTCTGACCCCTAGTTACACTATAAGCTTTTGAGGCGATGGACTGTTATGGACTGAATGTTTATGAGCAGCCTGCCTCCCCAATCTATGTTGATGGTATCTGGAGGTGAGGTCTCTGGGGGATAATTCGGTTTAGATAAGGTCGAGAGGGTAGGGCACCCACGACGGGATTAGTGCCCACATAAGAAGAGCATGAGAGACCCGAGCTTGCAAGTGCTCTTGCTACCCCCAAGCACTGAGGAAAGGCTATGTGAGGACCCAGGGAGAAGGCAAGCCAGGAGTCAGCCTCCACCAGGAACCAAATTGGCTGGCACTTTGATCTTAGGCTTGCCAGACTCCAGAATTGTGAGAAATCAATGTCTGTTGTTTAAGCCCCTTGGTCTGTGGTATTTTGTTATAGCGGCCCAAGCAGAGACCTGAACCACATCAGCTTTGCTCAACAGTACCTCCCTAGGCCCTGTCATGGTGTACAACACAAGAAGTATTTGAAAAAGGGAGGAAATGCCTCTGCATTAAATGTCTTTTGAATTAATACTCGTTTTTCCATTTTAGAGAAGGACAGATGAGAGTACATACATGTAATTCCTGAATAAAGGTCTGATTAAGTTATCAGAGTTTAGTATCACACTAAAGCAAAACAGAACAAAAAGGGCAGGCCCCAAATCCACTACCATTAACTAATTCCAACTACAGCTCCCACAGGAAGACAGAAACACTATTAAGATTGGAAAAAATGAGAAAAGCAGCACTGACAGTTTAGTCATCAAGCAATGACGGAAGAAATTACTCTGTTTTGGAACAAGTATGTCACAGATAACTGAAGAACAGTGATATAATATGAAATCAGATTTTTAAAAATCTCTTCCAATACACCTTCTTTTCACGCCTAATCACTTTTAATGAGATAAAGCTTACGTGAGCAAAGGACTTCAGAAGAACAAGATTGACAGCCTAATAATAATGAATACACATATGGCAAGTGCATCAATCTCTGCTGCTTCTGCTCCTTAATGTTGGTCAAGCAATGAATGTGTTCTGAGTGGGCTGGTGCTCCTGTTTCTAGAATTCTCTGTGCTAGTGCTCCCCAGGCTCGGCTCTAGGTCCTTTTCTCTCTAGGAAACCACAATCATACCCATAGCCTCAAGGATCCCATTCATAGCTGACTCCCTGCACAGGCCTTTGTCCTGAGCCCCAGACTCTCACATGTAACTGCATTCCTGCCATCTCCCAAAGATGTGCCAAAGGTCCTCAGTGTTAACATGTCTTAAGATCAAACGCATGACTGCATCCTTTCCTGAGCAACACACACACAACCAGACTGCGTCAAGCAAGGACTGAGGCTTGTGCTTTATCTCTAATGTCTAGTACACCAGCTGGTTCACAGCAGTGCTCAGACATCATGTTTAAAGGCTTCTGGGCCCCACCACACAGAATTAATCTTGCTCTAATGATGGCCCCCACAGCATTCTGAACTTGGTTCTGGTTTTGTGTGCCTGTCTGCCAGTAAACCACAAGTATCTCAAGGGCAGGTCTGCACTCCCAGGTTCTCATTCACTCAGTGACTCAATGAATATAAATACATTTTGCCCAAATATTTGCCCAAGTTTTCCTACAAAAATGAAGGAGCAATCTCCTTCCTTTCTTCTTTATAAACCAATTCCCAAATCCTCCCATAAAACTATCCCCAAAAAACACTTTCAAGGATGAATCATGTACATTTCTGTCCCATATTTTCCTGCTGTTTCCTGTGATAAACTGTAGGCTTCAGGTACGGGCAGGGCCTATGTTCCCTCTGTAATGCATATACCAGGACAAAATAAGCAGTAGAGACATACAGGTCAAGTCATACCAGTTCAATGGCTGCCTCGCTGGGTTCGGTTTACTTTGCAGCCTTGAATATACTCACTGCAGGGCAGTTTCTAATAGCAACACGGCCAGGCACCGTGGCTCACACCTATAATCCCAGCACTTTGCGAAGCTGAGATGGGAGGATCACTTGAAGCCAGGAGTTTGAAACCAGCCTGGTCAACAAGGTGAGACCTTGTCCTCTACAAAAAACCAAAAAAATGTATCAGGGCATGGTGGTGAGCACCTGTAGTCCTAGCTCCTGGGGAGACTGAGGCGGGAGGATCACTAGAACCCAGGAGTTCAAGGCTGCAGTGAGCCACGATTGTGCCAATGCACTCCAGCCTGGGTGACTAAGCAAGACTCTGACACACACACACACACACACACCCCCCCACAGCAATGCAATTATGATATCCATATATAATCTCTTTATTTCAATGTACTCCATTCTAAACTATTTTAGATGCAATTATTTAAAAATAAACACAATTATTATCAGTAGTTTAAAATAAACCAAGCCACAACCAAAGGGGGAGAAGAGACGATATAAAATCATTGAAAAGACTTCTATTTTGGAAGCCGTGGTATCTCATCAGTACCTTTATCTTTGGACCCTACACATCTAAATTGTTGAATAAAACCATGTTAGGAAATGTCAACTTCAATAACACATGCTTTCAAAAATGTTCACTCTGTAACAGAGTTTAATTTGTAGTATTGGAACTAGTTCCTGAAGGAGGTGACTTTTTCCCACTTACTTGCTTTTATGATTAAAGGCTGGGGGAATACACTAAAAAACTGATTACAAATCCCTCCTAGTGACCTTAGCACCTCTGGTGGCATGCACGTGTAGCTGCAGACAGAGAAATGAAAAAACAGCCATGATGCCCCTCCTTTTCCTTGGAAGGAACACTTTTTGTTCTGAGATGTGGCTAAAGTAAAAAAAAAAAAAAAAAATTTTTTTTTTTTTAAATTTTCGAGATGGAGTCTCGCTCTGTCGCCCAGGCTGGAGTGCAGTGGCGCAATCTCGGCTCACTGCAATCTCCACCTCCCAGGTTCATGCCATTCTCCTGCCTTAGCCTCCTGAGTAGCTGGGACTACAGGTGCCCGCCACCACGCCCAGCTAATTTTTTGTATTTTTTAGTAGAGACGGGGTTTCACCATGTTAGCCAGGATGGTCTCGATCTCCTGACCTCATGATCCGCCCGCCTCAGCCCC